TTTTTCACTGATCCCCCACCCCCCTCTTAACTTAATTTTGGAAAAATTGATTGACCAATATGGATATATGTAAAATCGATTTTGGATAACCAAAACTTGCAGCAATTTTAACCCCCCCCCCCACAACCCCCAAACTATTTGATTTAAGTTTTTTATCCTACATTGATCTTTTGATGTTATTGTCCGTGTAGTTCTTTTATTTATCCAGCTTATCGTCCTACAGGGATGTCCTACTAAGGCTGTCATACCATAAAAACGTTTATAAAACAGCTCACATTCTAATATATCTGCATTCATAAATCTATTAATTTCATTTAGACTAAACGACGCCATGTTTGTTATGTGCCTCTGTCGTCAACCTATCAAAAAAGAAGAGGTGGAAGGGAGCCAGAAGATCTTCCCAATGCAAAAAAAAACAGAAATGGACTTCTTCTGGCTCACTTCCGAAGAACAAAAAAAAAAAAAAACGCGCCCCATTGATATGTTTTCAAAACGCCTTGCCCCTACCCTTTTTTCCAAAAAATGGCATTATTAAATATATAAACATATATATAATCATCAAAATTAAAATGCTATTGTATTTTTATAAGACCTACTTTATTACATGACCTGGGACTAATGACATCTATCTATAAGTCCTAGCATACATTAATTATTATAATATGAATATGTTTCTTGTTTTAATAACCACATATGATGCTATGCATGAGTCACCATTTATCAGGACATGAATTGGGTTTACATAGAGAGGATAAGGGACGATTTCAGAAAATCAATGAAGAATAAAAAACTTAATTAAAATAGTTTTTTTTTTTGGGGGGGGGCAAAATTGCTGCAAGTTTTGTTTAATTAACATCGATTTTATATATATCCTTATTGGTCAATCAATTTTTCCCAAATTAAGTTAAGAAAAGGGGGGGGGGGGGGGGGGGGGTGGGGTGGTGGTAGGGGGTCAGTGAAAAAAACTATATGAATTAAGTTTTTTTTATCCTACATTGAACTTTTGATGTCGTCCCTAATGTGCAAAAAAATAGATAAGGGGCGGGACCAAACCTATAGATAACATAATAAAGAAATGATGAAATATACAGAATACGTTGATTGACTATTGGTTGCCTTATGTCCAGTGGCAAATATGTCACGCATGTTTAGGACAAATATAATAGAGATCAAAGGATAAAGAATAGAGTGAAATGGTAAAAACTAAAAGATATAGAATTATAGAAACGATCTTTGATCTGAAACCCCTATCCTCACACACACACCATAACCATTACTGCCAATGCCAATACTCGCATATATACATCTCTATACAAATATCTAAATTTGAACCTACTCCCGAATCCTAAATGAAAAATGATTTGCAGCATAAGACATGAGAGCACATATTATAGATAGTATTAAATATGAAGTTCACGCCTCATATAGTGAAGTCCTATATCATAGGACTATTGTTGTAACATGGGTTAGTAACTGGTTCCAATTTATCCTGAATTGTCTTTATTAAAGAATTAGTTCCGGAGTATAACAGCTTATGTCTCTACTTGTGGGTTTCTGGTTCTGCTGTCGTAACTAGGTGATTTTTTTCTACATGTAGTAGAAAAGAGGGGGCTTAGTCCAAATAATTGTAACGTCCTGGATGCTTTTTATTCTTTTTTCATGTGTGCCTTCCTGCAACGTCTCTGCGGATCAAGAAAAGTAAAAAATGATATAGCACTAAAGAACGTCATGATTACATGTATCTGGACTTAGAAGGGGGAGGGGGGCTAGCTATGTATTTTTTTTTATTTCAATGTGTAGACTGTAGGAGAGTTTCTTCAGAAAAGGTTTTCATTGGAGGTGTTTTTGCCATGCACGTAGGCATCTGTTTCTATCCATGAACAAAAGTTGTGTGTCAAATTATTTATTATTACTTGTCACTCGCATTTTTTGCTCGTCCTGGCCATTATTGGCATTAACAGCCAGTGCACGAACTCGCACAAACGCCAAATTTAGTTAGAGGGGCGATATTCTGACGCGTTTTTTAATTCTTGGTCACCCATGTTTAGAAAGAAAGGGGAGAAATCCAAACAATTACCGACCAATCACAAACGTTGTTGCAAATTTGACCTTATGACGTCAAAGAATTTCCCATAATGCAATTATTGCATATAAATAAAAAACTACTATACCCATTGAATAAAAAATATTGCATTCAAATGACATTTTATACCAATTGAATAAAAAATATTGCATTTGAACGAAAATTATACCATTTGAATGAAAAATTATACCATTTGAATATACCATTTGAATGAAAAATTATACCATCTGAATAAAAAATATTGCATTTAAATGAAAAAATATACCATTCAAATAAAAAAATATTGCATTTAAATGAAGAAATATACCAATTAAATAAGAAATATTGCATTTAAATGAAAAATATCAAATTTTTGCACCCAATACCATGCCATAGTCGATATTTTGTTATAGGACAAATAAGTCAAAGGTTTTATTTAATGTGGTATGCATGGGAATATAAACAATATCGACAATGTCGACTCTATATCGGCTCGATATCGATGATGACTTAAGCTGATCAAATAAAAATAAAACTTATCAAGGTGATCACATTAAGACCGAATAACCATCGATAACGATATCATTAACAGACGAACCAGGAGAAACTAAATTGTCTATATAGATAAATGTAGCAGAAAGAAAATTGGAACATAATTTGTCGGTACTCGTCGTCGATATCGTCGATATCGTCGATATCGACAACAGTATTAGATAAACATAAAGTAATCTCATTGAAGGAACAAATCAGTTGAGGAAACTTTTAAACTTTTTATTGGAAATCGTACAACATTTCCGTATTTTCACATCGCTAAATTGAAAAACTGAATGAAGATCGTAAACTAAACTATATGAAATTTAACCCCACTACACTCTGTATGTGCCTGTCCCAAGTCAGGAGCCTGTAATTCAGTTGTTGCCGTTTGTTGCTGTATATCATATAAGTATTTCGTTAATTGGTTTTCAAAGCAGGCCTTTAGTTTTCTCGTTTGAATTGTTTTACATTTGTCATTTCGGGGCCTATTATAGCTGACTATGCGGTAATGGTTTTGCTTATTGTTGAAGGCCGTGCGATGACCTATAGTTGTTAACTTCTATGTCATTAGGTATCTGGTGGAGAGTTGTCTCATTTGCAATTATACCATATCTTCTTATTTTTATAGAGAACATCACGAAGATTTTTTTAAATGTTGATATCGTCTACCGACAGCTTAAACAGATAAACACGGAGAAACTAAATTGTCTTTATGGACTAGTGTATAAGATTAATATGTCAGGTCATTAAAGATTGCATATTTTGGCGTTAATATTGATTCACTTATAGGGTCTTTGCATCGGCACTAAACACATTTATTTAAAAACCAGTTGTTGGCATGACACGGGTTATGTTCTTCTCATATATGTTATGATGGTATGATACTAAACCCCTAACGGGAAGGATTGTGCCTGATATTCATATGATGAAGACATAATCTTTCAATCAGTTTAATTGAAGTCTGGAGCTGGCATGTCAGTTAACTGCTAGTAGTCTGTTGTTATTTATGTATTATTGTCATTTTGTTAATTTTCTTTGGTTACATCTTCTGACATCAGACTCGGACTTCTCTTGAACTGAATTTTAATGTGCGTATTGTTATGCGTTTACTTTTCTACATTGGCTAGAGGTATAGGGGGAGGGTTGAGATCTCATAAACATGTTTAACCCCGCCGCATTTTTGCACCTGTCCCAAGTCAGGAGCCTCTAGCCTTTGTTAGTCTTGTATTATTTTTAATTTTAGTTTCTTGTGTACAATTTGGAGTTTAGTATGGCGTTCATTATCACTGAACTAGTATATATATTTGTTTAGGGGCCAGCTGAAGGACGCCTCCGGGTGCGGGAATTTCTCACTGCATTGAAGACCTGTTGGTGACCTTCTGCTGTTGTCTGTTCTATGGTCGGATTGTTGTCTCTTTGACACATTCCCCATTTCCATTCTCAATTTTATTTGAACATATAAACAGTTTAACCAGAAGAAACGCGTTGCAGGTATAAAATTTGCTGACGACATCGAATCGATATCGAACACGATTTGCCGTTCAAAGTAGTTGACAATCAGTTATATGTAATGATATCAAATGTAAATACAAGCTAGGATTCTCTTAGTAGGATTTCAAAACACTTTTGCATAAATACATATTTAGCAAAGCAGACCTTTTTATTCTGAACTTCCAGTGAGTTCGAAGTATTATTGGAAGCCACCGACTCAGCATAATATCAGACGCGGACCAAGGATTCGATGTCGGGGTAGGTGTAGGACAAAGAAGACCATATTTTGACAAAAATTTGGTTGTAATTTTACAAAATTCTTTTTTAAAAAATTTTTAATGGGGAGTGCGCGAACCCGTCTGAATATATTCAAGATTTAGAAAATAATATTTTGTAAGGAAATTCTAGTATCATTCAGGAGCGAAGGAGCAAGGAACAAGATGCATGTTTTCCATCCCTTCAAGTTTGTCAATTTTTTTTTATTGTAAATTAAAACAAATAATCGTTTGGTAAGAGCATGTCAGTCTTATATTATTTTTCATCAAAGTATCAAGAAGCATATTTCTTGTGACCCCCCCTCCCCCAGATTAAACATTTTAAAAACTTTAACTTCCGTAAAAATAGACTATAACCATAAGAAAAAATAATATACGATCATATACAATATAAAAATAAGGAGATGTGGTAATATTCATTACACAGGTAACAGATAACTCAATATCCAATACATAAAATGCATGGCCTTATGTTTGTGTTTAAAACAGATATCGGAATATTTGACATTGGAACAACGCAGAACAAAAATATTCAGATCATAGATATAAGAAGATGTGGTATGAGTGCCAATGAGACAACTCTCCATCCTACTTTCACTTTCAGATTTCGCGCTAGTTTACGTCATAGATATATATCTATTTATATCTGAAAGCGCACATGCTTATGATTTGAAAACAACAGAGAAGCCGCTAGTGAGACGGTGTGCCAGACGTGTTTTGTCTATTGGATAGCGTGGAATATGGCTAAAAGACTGCAAAATCTTGTTGGTGACACAGTGATTAGACTGTCAGGTGATAATGTAGAAGAAATAAGGGTTGAGTCATTATGTGGAAAAGACTCTGTTATTGGGATATATTTTTCTGCACATTGGTGTCCGCCGTGTAGAGGTTTTACACCAAAACTTATTGAATTCTATAATAACGAAAAACAGAAAAGGAATTCTACTAAGTTTGAAATTATTTTTGTGAGTTGGGATAGAGATGAAGCAAGTTTTAAGGAATATTTTGCTACAATGCCATGGTTGGCTTTACCTTATGACCCAGACAAAAAACACAAGGTAAGTTTACCTGTATTATGTGATAGGTATAAATGATTAAAATTCTAAGTAGCAATTTATAATGTTAGATTGCACCCCATCCTGCAAGCAAAATGGAGATAGTTTTGATACACTATATATTACATATACATTCAATTATTAATTTTATTTTATTGGAAAGAGCAGAAGAGGCATGATCCAAATACAGACATTTTTAACAATTAAATCTAATACAACCTAAATATCTGTAAAAACAAGTTTTATTAGTTTACTTATATATATATGGAATATATATATTCTTTTTTGATAATTAAATCAAATACATTTGATAACAGACACAGTGAATATACTAATACAATCCAGTAAGAAAATAGAGACATATATGGGTCACATATACATGTTTTATTTTGTACATATACTAAATACAGAATATTTACATGGTCCAGTCAGCCTAAAATTAAATAAATCCAAGCATCCAAGTAAATAATGGATAATGGATTATATATGATATATGATATATATATGCAATCTATTTTAGAGGGTTGAAAGGACCTTTCTTGCGAATTTGGGATTGTGCCTAATTTAATTCTAGGCTCTATTCAAGCACAATATTTTATTTTTCAACAGCAGTGGAATTAAATAATTCTTAGCTGCATACATGTATGTCATGTGTGTCAATTTTGTATGTCATGTATGTCATGTATGTATTGTGAAAATAATGAAGTAATGTCATGAATGTTCATGTATGTAAGCACAAAATATCATTTTATACCAAGAGAAAAATGAAATGTTTTGGTTAAAATATTGAAATCAAAATTTTTCACCATAAGATATGAAAAATCCTTTTAGGCCATCCCTTAATGATATGGATGTTTTAAAATGTTAGCTTGTAAAATGAGCAATTAAGTACTGTAAACAATGGAGATGATGTAAAATGAGCAATTAAGTACTGTAAACAATGGAGATGATGTAAAAAACAAACCAATATAGGAGCTAAACTCCACCTTTTTATCAAATAATATTAATATGAAAAGTTAAAGCATTTGAAGTCTACCTTTTATTATTTGGGGGAAGAGGGGAGGGGAGGTGTTATGAATCCTGCGCTTGATACATGTTGACTACTTGATACCAGAACATGGAATCAAATGTTTAGTGTCCTGATATTTGAACTTTTGTAAGTCTGAACAATACATTATATTTAAGTTTGAAAAATTCCTAACACAATGTATCTTTTAGTTGGTATGTTTTTTCATAAACTATTGACCACTGGGATGTTAAGCAACCTACAATCAATCAATCATCATAAACTATCGAATAGAAAATTGATCAAAATCACAAATAATGTTGGAAAACAGGGAAAATGAAGAAAACATGTGCCTACATAGTATCAGAATCAAATACATCTACCCAAGCACAGATTTTTAGAGTATTCTTGACTGTATTCTTTTTATGAATGCCATTTAGAATTTCAGGAAAGAATCACTGTTAGAGAGAATAATTTTATAGGGCATAGTATTTATGTGTTCTGAATACAGCTGTAGCAGCAAGGTACAGCTAAGTCAGTAAAAAGTAACAAGATTTGTATTTTTTACTTTTGAAAGGTCAATACTTTCCTGTTAAAAATAGCTTCTCTTAATAAATACATAAAATGTAGCTGTTTCTCAATTTGTGTATGTGCATGTTTTTATTTATTAGAGACACAGTGAGACAGATTGTTGTAATGTGTATAGGGCACTTTATGTACAAATGTACAAGGTTGTTGAGTAAAAAAAAGTCAACTAATTTGCAATCAATCTTTTGCCTTTTGTAAAATAGATGAGCGCTGATTTAAAAATATTGAAATACAAAAGAATTAGTATATTTTTGTACCCTCACATGACCTTAATATAGACCTAACAGAATATATGTTATTTTACATTAAAGAGGATACAGTTCTGATAGACTTGATGTGATGACACATTTGAATGAAGTTACCTCCCTTGATTATTAATTAGTACATGTAACTGTGCATCTGTGAGTTACATATCATGGAGATCATCAATAAAACTTTCATTAGTCAAGTTGTATTTATGTAACAAATGTTTGCAGCAATCAAAGTTACGAATTTGATGTGTGATAAATGCAGCTGTTTTTGATAGGGATACATATTTAATGAGTAGAAAATTTTTGCTTTTCTTGAAATTTTATGAACTTTTGTTTTGTAAGTTGGGAAAAGGCAGATGTACACACCATCAAACTTAATGAATTCTACACGATAAATGAACTGACAAACCAGTATACCCCAGTTAACATGACTCACAGATAAGAACATTTTACAAGTTTACTTAAAGATTTGGGTCCAAACAAAATTTGACACTCAGGACAGAAGTTGTTGATGATTTTAAACCAATCACGATCAATAAAAGATATCTTGATTTTTTAATGATGGTTTATATTTAAAGGAACTATAAGAAAAAAACCTGTCTGTTGAGGGTTACTATATCTACAATGAAATATCTAATGTTAAGGTCTACCAATTTCACTAAGATTTGTGGTCAAGTAGCAATAAACATGTAATGGTTTCATCAAGAATTATAGTTGAAAATAAAATTATTTTACTGTCTACTGATTTTCTTTTTTAAAACTAGTGTACCTTTAAACATGTCAAAGAGACATTTTTGTTATATTTTATTGTGTATGGTTATTTTTTTTTAAATATTAGGAATAATTGGTACATGTAGGTGAGAAAGTGAATAATTATAATATAATGTTGATGCATGCAACTCATGTGTTCAGATGTACATGTTCAGTGTGAGCCAAGGCTCCGTGTTGAAGGCCGTACTTTGACCTATAATTGTTAAACTTTTTATACATTGTGACCTGGATGGAAAGTTGTCTCATTGGCATGCATACCACATCTTCTTATTTATAATGTATGTTATTGTACTTAGAACTTAAAAATACCATGTCAAAGTTCTAGAGTTGTATCTACTGGCTCTGAGTTACATTTTGTACAAAGCCATAAACAAATGTTCAATGGCATTTCTAAACATGGTATAAACAATAGAATCCATTAGTTTGATGGAATATAAAATAACAGGAAAAGGAACAGAGCACTATGCAGGATGATGTGCATACAACATGCATAGTACTTTATTGATTGGCATTTTTTAATTAGAAATAGTTGCATAATGGATTGCTTATTTTTTTACCTTGATGCATGAAATGATGCACACTGTAATTTTTAACAATGCTGAACAAATACCAATTTCATCAGCTCTCTGTTTAGCAGAGAAAAGACCTTCAGGGTTTTTGTTTGATTTTATAATTGTGCAATAATGATTTTGTGAAATTTGAGAGCACATTGCATGTATTTATGTTACACTATAAAACTTTTGATGTTTTATTGAATACATTTGTAAAAGAGTATAATTGGAAGATAATCAAATAAGGTTGAGTTTTTGAATGTATTTATTGTACTGTAATATAATTAGTTCCATTTCTGCAAAACGGAATTTATTTTGTTTCCATGAGAGATTTTAAAGAAATGAAATTTTCAGCTTTAAAATTCATATAATTTTATCTTATTTTTACATTATTTGATGAATAAATACATTGAAATATGAGAAGAAACTGTTAGTGTATGTATTTAAATGAAATTGTATGAGTTGTTTGCATAATTTGTTTTAATCCAAGTATTTAATGTATTCAAAAACTTAGCTTGAAAAAGAAATTTAATGGTATTTTAATATTTGTAATTTGAAGTCTAAAAGATGTAAGATCTTTACTACAATTATAACTTGTTTGAAATCAGAAGTTGCAAAGTTTAACAGTTGTACATGTAGTTAATATTTATGACTAATGACATTTTAAAAGGTACTGATTCACACTTAACTGAAAATTAAATAATTTCTTAGTGGTGTCTTAAAAAAGTGAAATGTCAGTACTTAAATAATATGGGCGCATTGCATTTGCCCCAATTTTTACAAAATCCAATCTTTCATTTGCGCCACAAGGTTATATTTCAATTGCACCAAAAAATAAAAACTATATTTCCGCCATTTTACAGGTAATATATAACGGAAAAGTTTAAAATATTCATTGCTACATCGTCAATAAGTCTTTTTTTTTAGTGTATTCCTCCTGGGTAACTAAGTAAGTTCATCCTCATTTCTAATATAAAACTGAGAGTCACTTAGGTTTAAAACTATACAGTGTTCACATGTTTGAGGTGTCAAGATGGACATTGTCAATTCTGAGACAATAAGGCCGTTTGTTTTCTCAATTGGATTGTTTCATATTTTTCATGTCGGGGCTGTTTATAGCCGACTATACGGTATGGGTTTTTCTCATTTTTGAAGACCGTACGGTTGCCTATAATTGCTTTCATCCACTTCATTTGAACTTTGGTGGATAATTGTCTCATTGGCAATCATACCACATCTCCTTATTTTTATATAGAGGAAATAAGTTTACTTTTTTTATGACCACACATATAGGTTATCCAGTGTACATGATTACATCCAAGCCATTGCTTACAAGTCTTGTGTCGGAACAAACATTTGGTTTTACTCCAGTGTATAGTGCTTTCTTTTAGGTTTTATATCTCGTTAATTTATAACATAACAGTAACATTATTATGAAAAGTCTCTTATTAGGAACGTACTAGTGTATAGTGCTTTCATTATGGTTACGGTGACTGATTTAGGAGGAATATGTGTTATAAAATTCTTATCAAAAGTCTCTTTTGAATAAAACTACATTTTAAACTATTTACCTGTATTATTGGCGCAATTGAATTGTTTTATTTTGGCGCAAATGAAATATGGTTTGTGGCGCAAATGAAATGCCAATTGGCGCAAAAGCAAAGCACCAAATAATATACAATAATGGCCCATAGAAAAGGTGAATATCCAAAATTGTCAACACTAAAAGGTTATTTCACTGAGGGCACAATTGTTTTATTATACCGAACTAACAGTGGAAAGGCCTTTTGAACCATTGAAAAAACACTTATCTTACTGTTACAGCAAACACAAGTTAACGTTTGAAATTAAATTTGTGTCTTAGAATTTCTCATATGTCCAACAAAGGTAGAATCTTTTTGTAAATTATTGATGGCCCTGAAAAGGACTGTTTAAAGGAAATATATCCTTGGTACTAGATGCATTTCCAAGCCTTGTTTCCTCATCACTTGATGGGCTGCCTGTAACATGAATGTTGCCATTTTTTTACTTACGTCTGTGAGGTCATTTTCATGGTAGATAACTCGTGTACAAATCAAGAAAATCAAAAGGTTATTCATCATTGGGTGTAAAATTTTAGGGTTATTTGTTCCTTGCATTTAAAGGAAAATTAACTGAATTATTCCATGTCACATGAGAACGTGTTACCCAATAGAATTGTTTATGATATATGTAGGTATAATAATATAAAATATATTGGTTGATACCACTCAATCACCGGATGTTGACCTTAAATATTAACTTAGATATTAACCTGAAATCATCAGCGGTTTTTGGTGGGGTTAGTATTTTGGAATTAGCCATACTTAACTTTTTATTTCAATTTTGTATAAACCTTCATTTTCAGAAGGTCAAGAAGAGGATAATCTTACTTTATCCTTATCTTATATTCATGTGCTCTGTATTTTCTTAATTGAATGATTCAATTACTGCATTAAAAATATATAGATCTTTCTGTTGCTGCCTCATTGATTAAAACCAAACATCTCCTTTTATTTGTACAAATGTATTGACCATTGTATCTGGGATATAGAATAATTGCAAGATGAACACATCTGTCAAGTAGAGGTTATCTGACCTTGACCTGATTTTCATAGTTCACTGATCAATATCAATTTTTTTTGACATATATGTCAGTTTATCATTTACAATAAATAATAAGAGAACTAACTATATTTGGTCTGAGATAATCTTAAGACAGCATGACTGTTTGACATGGTTCATCTGACCTTGACATTATTTTCATACATTTGATCCTTGAAATGATTGTGGTCTGACAGGGTTCTTCTGACCTTGATCTCATTTTCATGGTTCACTGATCAATTTTAAGTTTTTGTGATTGGCTCAAGCACAGTTTCTTAGATATTATAAATAATAGGTCTAGTTTATTTCACATATAGGATGATTTACAGGTCTGTAATTTATGTCAGACATGCACCTTATTGTACTGGGTACCTTATTTTTTATACATGTAGTTTATAGGTCAGTGTTGTTGTTGTGATAAGGTAATTTTTCTCACTTACTTAACATTGCATAAAGAAAAAGGTCAGTTACATTTGGTCTGTAGAAGGATTGTAAGTTGTACACTGTACTTGTCTCTCTGGCAGGGTTTATCTGATGTTGACCTCATTATTATGGTTCATCTGATGTTGACCTCATTATTATGGTTCATCTGATGTTGACCTCATTATTATGGTTCATCTGATGTTGACCTCATTATTATGGTTCATCTGATGTTGACCTCATTATTATGGTTCATCTGATGTTGACCTCATTATTATGGTTCATCTGATGTTGACCTCATTATTATGGTTTATCTGATGTTGACCTCATTATTATGGTTCATCTGATGTTGACCTCATTATTATGATTCATCTAATGTCGTTATCGTGTTTTATCTGATGTTAAGATCATTATCATGGTTCATTGATCTTTAAAGTTAAGTTTTCATGATTAAGTAATTTTTATGAATTATTATGAGTAATAGGTCAACAACCCTTGGGTTATAGAATGACTGTGAAAAGTACATCTCAATGTCTGTCTGACATGGTTCATTTGACCTTGACTTCATTTCCACCTAGTTAAGTTTTCAGTTAAGATTATGTAAAGTGGTTCATTTAACTTCTTGATAAATGCACATTATCATGCACACATTGCACTGAAATAGTGCAAATGAATGAAAATAATCATCTAAAAATAATTACATGTATCTCATCATTTTTATTTAACATGGAATTCTCTGTGGTTCTAAAATTCAGTGCAAAATTATGATGCCATCAAATATTTCTGCAATTTTCTTTATTAATCATATCATATTATAATTAAGTTTGAATATTGATAATTTTTACTTTGATGTTTTGTAACAAATCAATGATAATTTGATAACAATTTGATTAAGGCAAGTAGAAAATAAACGATTGATTGCTCTGTTGAATTAGCTGCAATTAAAAGACAATACCAAGTTTTATTACGATAAATTCATGGAACTTTCAAAAGAGGGGACATTTATGGAAATACATAATTGAAAAATGAAATTATCAACCACCTTGAACTGTTTCCTGGATCCTATTTAATGTTTTATGCATTTCCTGCTTGGATAGTAATTCTAGTTTGAACAGATATTGGCCTGTTGTAATGCATTCTGTATTACCTGATTTATATCATACTTTTCCTTGTTGAATGTCAAAAGATAGCATTGCATTTTTTCACAACTTACCTATAGTGGTGGGATTTAATGCTACATGTAGCTGCTTATCTATTATTGGCTACTATATGTGGTGACCTAAAGATGTCGTTTGGTAGCTGTTGTTGTTAGGTAGCTGGCTTGTAAATGTTTACCTGGCCTTACATCTTCTTAAATCAGCTCACCTGGTTTATTGTCTTTTGTCTTTCCTTTAACATTTGAGAATAAGAGTTAGGAATAGACTATTTTGCAATTACTGATTTGATTCTGTTATTACACACTTTTAACACAAGTTGTTTCCCTTTGCCAATTGTAAACTGGTTCAATACCTATGGTCCTGTTCGCAGGACAAGATGGGCTGCTGCCCATGCAAGGTATAATAAGTTGAAATAGATATATTGACCTTTTAACTAATTTTCAATGGAAAATAGCTAGCGATATCAAAACCTTCAAGCTTAAAAAAAGATTAAATGTAAAAAAATCTTCAAGATTAAACATAATGCTTCTGCCGCTAGCTCTTAACTGTCTACGCAAATGTATATCCTTCCCTCGTCCCTCCTATGGGAAACAACAAAAAAAATGATCCCTTATTACAGGGTCAATCACCAAAATTGGTAAATAGAAAATTTGTATGATGAAAAACTAAAATCCTTTACACATTGTCATAAACCCAAAATTAAATTGCACATCTATTTGATCTAGTTATGAATCTTCTGTATACTAGTGACATGTGGATGTAAAACTTCAAGGTACATGTATTAATAAATGTATTAGTTTAGAGAACTTATGGCTTAATCACTGACATAAAAGATCTGATTCATCTGTATTATGTATGGCCTTAATCACAAAAGTAGAAAACTTATAGAGAATTTCCTCTTAGTATTACGTATACCATCATGTTTAAAACATATTTGAAATCTCAAGCATTTCCCTTAACCTCAGTCATGTAAATTATAAAGAATCTGACTCTCCATTTTTTGTACATCAGGGAGTTAATTCACATCTAGCATTATTGCATTAATAGACGTAAATCATATTTTGACTGTCATACTTATCTGCATGTAAATATTATAAAGCTGTATGGAATACATATGTTTGACTTTATTTGTTTGGGTACTCAGTAGAAACATTTAAAAGCTTTACAGTGTGTCATCTGATTTAATGTCAAAACATTGATTGAGCCTTTCTCTTATTGACTAAGCTGAATCTTTGAGATAAAAGCTCAAGAGTATACTTCATGATGTAATAATATAATTTTATATTAGATCATTTTACTTGATGGACATATAATTGACATGCAATATCAAGGAATTCCTTCAAGGACAATATTATTAATCCTCTTACAACTTGTGACTTTGTTATATCACAGTTCAAGACCATCCAGATGATAGATTGGTTGATTGATTGATGGACGTGTAATATCCAGTGGCAAATATTACAATCAAAGTCATTCCTGATAATAACATGTGATTTGTCATAAATATATAAACCCTGCTTTGTACTGGACCAACATACTGAGTCATATTTTTGATTTAGTAGCTCACATTTAGATAACAGATTACTGAAACATGTACCACATCTTTTTTTTTTATATAAATACCCTTTATAGCTTAACCCAGACACTCATTTCTGACTCTGAGCTGACAAGTTTTTGCACTTTTCTCTTAAATCTTGTGTGGTAAACAAAGGAAAGAAAATTATTTTTAATTTGTTTTAACATGATCTCAAGACATAAAAGGTTACATGCAAGCAAAATTTGTAAAGGTAAAGCACTCCACCTAAAAATAAAACAATAATTAACAATATCCTATCAAAGAATTCTTACAGTGAAAGAAAGCAAGTTAAAAGTACTTAGTATGCCAAAATTAAATCATGCCAAATTACACTCTCAATATTGGTGGATAAACTTCAGATTAAATTTAATACAGCAGCAATAAAGACACGATCATGTGGAATGCCAAGAACACACCTACAGAATTTAAATGCTAAAACAAAGGGAACATTTTAGTCTTGCTTCATCGATCTAAAAAATGATTTCAATGGCATTACCTAAACTTATTAGTTTTATCAATAATGTTATAGTAAAAGGCTAGGTTTGAAGTATTACTTTTACTTACATTCATTTATCCTGCAATCAGCCAACTATTGTACAAACAGGTACACAAATAAATTTTATATTTTCCGACAATGTACATATATTGTATATTTATGTATTTTTTTTCAGGGTAAACTGACAAAAAAATTCAGAGTTCAAGGAATTCCAAAATTAGTTCTGTTAGATGGAGAAAATGGGAAAACTATAACAGTTGATGGTTATACATGTTTAACAGATAATCCCAATGGAGAGGGATTTCCATGGAGACGAAAAAAGGTCACAGAGGTCATCAAAGGACCAATAATAACCAGTAATAAAACAGAAGTAGAAGCTTTAGAAGCTCTGAAAGGGAAATATGTTGGGCTATACTTTTCTGCACATTGGGTAAGTATTTTATTTTAACAATTTAAAATGAAACATGTGCATACTAATATTCCCTATAAATTGACCTTATATATCATATATACTGTAAATTCAGAAATTATTGCGATGTTTTTATTATTGCGAAAAATGCGACAGGGTTATAATCGCAAAAATTTAAACTTGCATTTTGAAATTTTTTATATGAATTAAACAGAATTTTTCTCAATATCGCAAAAATTTAAATCACATTTTAGTCTAAAATGACAAAATCGCAATAATAAATGCACGCAATAATTTCTAAATTTACAGTATGTAACAGAATTTTTCTCCATGGAAGCTAAAGACTATTGTTTTGTTTAAAATATAGAATAGTAGCAGCACATCTTATTGTATTTGATTGTTAATGATTTACTATAGAATGAATAGATTTCAATGAAACTTTATACAATGTTGTTTTGGTCTGACAAGTTTTCTGTTGTTATCCTGTAAATACAAAATTTTAAATGTCAGACTAAACATATTTATCCAAAACATACTATAAAGGCCTAGTTTTCTTAGTGTACATCGACATGCATCAATTACTAACAGCAGTTGTACAAAAGTAATTCTTTTGTGAAGTCATTTAGAATAATACAAAAAACTAACAGAACACATTGTTTGAGGTAGAAAATATGAAAACAATGTGAAGCTATACAGACATTACAGAACATTCTGTTTACATTGTAGTTTCATAGAGCACTTGGAGAAAATTAAGAGGCTCTTACTGTAATAAACATAGCTATTTCATGACAGATGACTTGATTTGCTGACAGATGAGAATGTTCTCTGGGAAATCATATATCCAAAACTTGATAGTAAAAATGTTATGTGTTTGCAAGTTGGTGTTAGTTGGCGGTGATTTGATTGTTAAAAAACCAATGGTGTTTTTGAGGTAATTTGAAGTCTGTTGGTTTTTTGGTAAAATTGGTGTCATTTGTAACACAAGTTGATTCATTGAAAATGTATGGGGATGTTGCTGGTAATTTTGGTAACAGTTGACAAAAGATGTTTTATTGAAAAGTTGGTTGTGTTTACTGCGGTGATTTTTGTCATGAGCATGCTTGAAATATTTGCCAATGGGCATTGAACAGCCAACAATCAATCAATCAACTTTGGTGATTTGATTGTAATTCTTTGTTGGAAGAACAACAATCGAATCACCATAGTTGATTATTTAAAAAAGCAAGATTACCACCTTCGATCCTTCTATCAATGGTACAGTAAGAGCTATAGTCTGATCTACTGGCTAACATAACCAATGAAGAGCGTCTACTTACATTTATCTACAACAGCTTAGAGAAACACTGTTTATCTATCTGAATATTTTACTAGCATAACCAATGAAGGGTAGTTACTTATCTGTACCATGCCCTAAGGAAGCACTGCTTATCTGACTTAATATTCCACTAGCATAACCAATAAAGGGTAGTTACTTATCTATACCATGGCCTAGGGAAGCACTGCTTATCAGACTGAATATTCCACTAGCATAACCAATGAAGGGTAGTTACTTATCTATACCATGGCCTAGGGAAGCACTGCTTATCTGACTGAATATTCCACTAGCATAACCAATGAATGGTAGTTACTTATCTTTACCATGGCCCTAGGGAAGCACTGCTTATCTGACTGAATATTCCACTAGCATGACCAATGAAGGGTAGTTACTTATCTATACCATGGCCTAGGGAAGCACTGCTTATCTGACTGAATATTCCACCAGCATACCAAATGAAGGGTAGTTACTTATCTATACCATGGCCTAGGGAAGCACTGCTTATCTGACTGAATATTCCACCAGCATACCAAATGAAGGGTAGTTACTTATCTATACCATGGCCCTAGGGAAGCACTGCTTATCTGACTGAATATTCCACCAGCATACCAAATGAAGGGTAGTTACTTATCTATACCATGGCCCTAGGGAAGCACTGCTTATCTGAATGAATATTCCACCAGCATACCAAATGAAGGGTAGTTACTTATCTATACCATGGCCCTAGGGAAGCACTGCTTATCTGAATGAATATTCCACCAGCATACCAAATGAAGGGTAGTTACTTATCTATACCATGGCCTAGGGAAGCACTGCTTATCTGACTGAATATTCCACCAGCATACCAAATGAAGGGTAGTTACTTATCTATACCATGGCCCTAGGGAAGCACTGCTTATCTGACTGAATATTCCACCAGCATACCAAATGAAGGGTAGTTACTTATCTATACCATGGCCGTAGGGAAGCACTGCTTATCTGAATGAATATTCCACCAGCATACCAAATGAAGGGTAGTTACTTATCTATACCATGGCCCTAGGGAAGCACTGCTTATCTGAATGAATATTCCACCAGCATACCAAATGAAGGGTAGTTACTTATCTATACCATGGCCCTAGGGAAGCACTGCTTATCTGAATGAATATTCCACCAGCATACCAAATGAAGGGTAGTTACTTATCTATACCATGGCCCTAGGGAAGCACTGCTTATCTGACTGAATATTTTACTAGCATAACCAATGAGGGGTAAGTACTTTTCTCTACCATGGCCTAGGGAAGCACTGCTTAAAGTTGGGGATGTGAAACCTTATTCATTACAATTAAAGAACTTTTTAACAATTAGCATTGCGGAATTGGTACTTAAAAATGTGAGTGTGTATGTGTGGGGGGTCTGGGTTGAAGTTAGAAATTACATAACTGATCATGAGGTCGCTTGCAGGTGCTGAGGCTTTCACTTGTGAAAACAATATATTTGAAAAAGGCTTTGTTATTAGCCCTGTATAACTTTCATTTTATGATTTGTAATTCATAGCAAGAAAGAAATGGTTCAATTTTCAAGACATTAATTCAGGAAAAAAAATGTCTGGAATCATAATAGTATTTCTGCATAGGTGCAGGGATGTCTGTTTTTTTGCATTGAATGGTGAACAATAGAACAGAGGATTGAGGATCTAGTTTTGATTAAGATATTTATCCCTGCAGGTGATTACATTCACCAGGCGCTATCACTGACTCTAGATAAACATGCTTTTATTTACAGTGTGTTAATGATTAAAATGTCTGTTTATATAATTATCTGCAAAATTGCATCTTGTAAGAAAAATTTTCACCTTAAAATTCGATCACATTCAGTTTGTTGAGATGTTGTTGCGTAAGAGTTTGTAGATTTATGGCGTAATCTGGAAAGATGCTTGTGCTTCTAAGTAATTAACTTTCTGTATTTTATGAAACTTTTATCAGCATGCATTTCTACATTATCTTTGATATTCTGCTTCTTCTCTAAATAAAATTAAAAAGTTCAATAAAAGTTATATCTGTGCATGAGAAAATGTGCAGAATTTTTGGTGTCTGTTTTTTCTGATCAAAGTAGGGTAATAAATCTAAAGTTGGAGTTTGTTATGTAAAATCAGTAACAAAACTGTTTATTCTTGATGGACTTTTTTTGTGTCCACATAAATCAAATGAGCTGCTATAAAATATTATTGTTTATCCTCCTATTCTTAATTGTCTTTTATAGCTTTATGTTGAAGGAGCATTCAAATTTCAATAAAATGTCTAAAATGAAAGATTTTGTAAATTCTGTTACAGTTATTTTGTGCTGATATTTGGATTTCTTGACAGGCTTACACCTGCTGTACAGTTGTTTTATACTTATATTAGGATTTCTTGACTGGCTTACACTTGCCAAGCAATTTTTAAAGTACTCATACACATGCATTAAGATTGTGAACAAGGAAATGGTACAAAAGTGCTTAAATGAATTATAAAATTAGAATAATAAGTATGAATAAAAGGAGACATGGGATATAGGCCAATGAGACACCAACTCAAGGACAAAAATAATCTTAAAATACACATCTCATATCTAACAAACAAAGAAATAATAAACCAAGAAATAATGCCATTTCCCCAAGCTTTATTAGTAAACAACTGTTAAATATTATATAAAAGTTCATCTGTCAATAAGGAAAAAAAATTCTTCTTCCATTGAAAAAAATTATTTATTTTCGGAAGGTCATGTAACTCCTATTATCAATCTTTGTGTAACCATACTGTTGAATATAACTATTCAATATGTGCATTTTCAAAGGATGTTTGTGTAATATGACATAATATAGCGGCTGGTAGAACTTTCATAGCTCTACCGTGTTGTAGACACTGTTTTTGAACATGTGTGTGTGGGGAATACAACAGAAGAGTATATAATTGTAAACATCTAAAACAAAACTGTAATTGTTACATCTGTCGAAAGTTAAAAAACTAAATTCTGTTTATTTTTTTTGTGTTTTTAAAAAAAAAGTAACATAAAATTGAATATGAATCATTAGAGCTAACACAACTAAAAACTATATCTAATTTCATGTCTACATATTTTTTTGACAGATAGCTAGTTTTGTTAGACAGCTAGTCACCAATTAATTAATTAATGCTGTCAGTAAAGTCACCTTAGGTTTTTACCAGGTTAGCGATTCAGGCTCTTGGGAGCTTCATGTTAAAGATCATGACTATTTTAACACAGTCAAGGTTCCTTTATGGAGTTATGGCCCTTCCTATCAGTAAAACCTGTATAGTATTAGAGGTTTGGTCTCTTATGTATAATTAAAAACATTGATTGATTGTTTGGTCCTTGCTTAATGTCCAGTGGCAATTAATTTCACGATGGACAAGAAACTATTAACTATATATCCAATAGGTAGATTATGCAAGGTGTGCCAACAGGGATGAAGGGCAAAAATTTGGACTCCCACTAGAAAATAATGGTATGTTGGACTAATCAGAAATTTGGCCTTGTAACAGGTCACATACAGACCCCTCAAAGGGTTGTTGCTAGGGTTCTTCAACATGCAAAGAGCATGGCACTCTCTTAACACAAGATATTAGATCTAAGGTACCCATTCTAAAGTGGCTGCTAATTTATACATCCCTGACAACCCACTTGGGTAAGGATTTTACTGCCAGTCCAAAGAAGGTGACCATATTTC